TACATAATACGAAAAGAGCAACAACAACAAAAGCTTTTTTGTCTATTTTACCATCCATAAATTTTGAAATTTTTCAGTTTGTTCTTTTTTATGGGGAGGAAGAATGGACACCGCAACACACCGATGCACACGTCCGCCATTGACATCGATCTTAAGCCATGTCTTCTGAGGTCTTCAACCAGCAAGTATCTGCATCTCTCGGACCCCAACCAGGTAGTCGACAACAAACGGCCGAGGCCAACTGTTTCGTCAGCTTTTTCATGCGGCTTCTCCAAGTTGTAGGCTGTTCACCAGACCGTCTTCTCCAGGCCTGTCCAGCAACCGCAAACCACGCAAAACGTGGGTAACGCTAGACACGCATGCGCAATACGTGTCCCAACCACCGCAGTTGATGCAGTGAGACGAGCTCCTCGAGCGAGTGGCTTCCACGTCCAAAGACACGCTGTCTAACTCCCACATTGCTTATGTGATGCTGCCACCACACACGGGCAATGGACCGCAGACAGCGGTGCTCGAAGACGGACAGCCTGCGCAAGTCATCTTTACGAATGGGCCAGGTCTCGCATTCGTACAACAGTATAGCACGAACAGTTGCACAATAGACCCGCCCTTTGATGGAGAGACGAATGTCGTGGCGACGCCACAAGTGCCTCAGCCTAGAAAAAGCGAGGCGTGCTCTCGAGATGCGCATCGAAATCTCCTCACCAACAGCCCCACCAGCAGTGATGCAACTTCCCAAATAGACAAAGCTCTCCACAACCTCTAATGTCTCATCAGCAAGCGTGAGTGCAGGCAGAGGCACCTGCCAGTCTTGGAAGAGAACCTTGCATTTGGATGGCGAAAGTACATACCATACTTTGATGCTTCAATCGCCAAGCGGTTTAGTGCAAGTTGGACGACGTGTGGATCGTCACCCAGCAAGACTATATCATCAGCATAATCCAAATCAACAACTCGACTACCTGGGAGGAGCTCAACGCCAGCGTTCAATGAATCGCCCAGAGCGTTCTTCAGAATATCCTCAATGGCAAAGTTGAATAGGAACGGAGAGATAGGGCATCCTTGTCGAACTCCACTGGAGACCACAAAGGTAGGCGAAAGCTTGCCATAAGCCCTAACCCTGCCCGAGGTCAGACTATAGAGGGCGCCTAGTATGGAGACGAACTACTCGGGAATACCATTCCTCACTAGGCAGTGCCACAGTACTGTACGATCGACGGAATCGAAGGCTGTACGGATATGCAGGAACACAGCAATCGTTTCCCTCTGATAGGCCTGGCGGAGCTGGAGGATCTGGCGGAGTGTGAAGATTTGATCGATGCAGCCGCGACCAGGACGAAACCCAGCTTGTTCTTCTCGCTGCAACGATTCGCGCGTTGGGGATAGCCTTCGAACTATGATGGACATCAGCAGCTTGCAAACTACGGGGACTATGTTTATGCCTCTGTAGTTCGAGCAGATTTTGAGCTGGCCCATTTTGAAGATGGGGACGACTATCGACTCACCCCAAGATGATAGAACTTTCTCTTTCGAGCAAATTTTCTAGAAAAAAGCGGTGAGTTCTCGAACCAGCGAGCGCTGCCATCTTTAAACAGAACTGGAGGAAGACCATCAGGGCCGGGGGTTTTATAGCGCTTCATGTACCCGAGCTCCTGCTCGAGTTCCTGGTAAGAGGGAGGATCTGTGGGGGTAGACCACTCGGCCCCAGCGCGAGCGCCAGAGTTAGCAGTTGGAGCTGGGGCCAACAAAACTGCGAGACAAAATGTTCGGCCCATCGCTCCAACCGTCGTTTAAGATTGGTGATTGAAGTGCCATCCTCCGCATATTGTTTCACTTATACCAGCTCGAACACCTTCGGTGACCCGAATGAGATGGAAAAGTTTTCTGGTAACACCAGAGAGATTAGCAAGCTCCATCTCCCTAGCACGTTCACATCACCAAGCCTCGCGGTCCATTTGCAGACTCCTGCGCAACTCTCGACCAAGGATTGGCGTTCTTCACTGTGTCTGGAATCCGACGGGATCAATCGGCGTCTGTCCATCAGCGACAAGGAGACGGCTGAACTCCAATGCCTCGGTGGGTGACAAGCAAATCCACAAGTGTCGATACTGGCGGAAACTAAGGCATCTTTGATATGCGCCCACTGCGAATCGAGATCACCGTCAATAGTTGAGCCAAGCAAGGTTGACAGTGAGGCTTGGTACCTGGTTAAAATCGCAGGGTTTTGTAGATTTGCGACGTCCGGTCGGTAGAGAGCGCGCTTAGGTGATCCTCCGTATCGCACGCAAATCTTTGCATGAACCAGTGCGTGATCGGAGACCAGGAAATTTGACCAGTACGATCGGCAGTCCGTTACGCTTCTGCGCCATCTGTAGCTAAATGCTATGTGGTCAAGCCGGGAGCACTCTTGCGTATGTGAGGGCAGGCGCCAGATAGCAGTGTGTCTCCTCGAGTGCCGAAAACTAGTGCTCGAAAGAAACAAGTGATGATCAGAGCAAAGAGCAAGCAGTCTGTCTCCTTTGTCTGATCCACTGCCACCGAGGCCAAAACTACCCCCAAGGTGGTGCTTGCTTGGTGGAAGGCGACCAACCCCGCGCGTTAAAGTCCCCGGCAAGAATGACTATATCAGTCCTTTTGGAGGAACGCAGAAGTTCATGTAGCTGCTAGTAAAAGCTATCTTTAACTGCATCCGGGCTGCAGTCTGTAGGGATGTATGCGGAGACGACAAACAAGGCACGCTTAACGTCTCGACGCCTGCTTACATTACACAAACCTGTTAATCGGACTGCTCATGGCCGAGTACAGACGCATCCAGTCACGCAGAGCTAATTCAGCCCTGGCACTCAGTGCAACCCCAACACCAGCTTGGCCCGTGGCGGCAGCTTCTGAATCACCGGAAAGCTGCAAGTGGTATTTGGTGTCAGGGTTTACCGGAGAGGCCATTCTGAGGACGGCGCTAGTCTTGTAATTTGGTCTCTGAAAGGCAACAGATGTCTACCGAAAGCGTTTTAAGTGTACGGGCCAGACATGCTTGTCGTCCGATCTGCATCAAAATTCGAACATTAAACGCCGTGAGGATGAAACGAGAAGCAGGTCGAAGAAGAACTGGAGCATCGGTGGAGTGAGAGGCGGTTGCGGTCGCAGGACATTGAAAACCGGGAGTTTGGCTGTCGTTTCCATCAATTGTGAGACGTGGGTCGTTTGTGACGGTGACCGAAGAAGGCATAAGGTTACATTGAGGTGAAGGACGGGAGGTGGGATGATCTGTGAGTGGAGGTTGAGCGGTTTAGCTAGCATAGAAGTTAGGTATAGCAGGAGCAGTGGTGAGCGGTGTGGTCCATGATTCGCCAGTGAGCGTGATACCACCCGGTTGCCCAGACCGAAGTAGAGGATTGTCTTAGGGGGCCCTATCCCGAGTCTTTGATCAAAGATCTAACCTACAAGACAGCAGGGCGATGTGAGGGCGGCGCAACCCGTTGGGAGATGGTGACCAAATGGATGTTTCAAACGCTTTTCGATCCGTGAAGGACCAGTGGCACAACGCACCCTTGAAGTACAGTGCCTTTCAGGGAGGGGCAAGGCGCAGTGACTTTATTTAGTGGCGAGTCACATCCGCCACGTCACAGTGTTGTTAAACAGACATTTTTGGATTTTTATAGGGAGAACGCTTGCCAAGCGAAAACCCACCACGTTCTGGAACACTGACGCCGAACCATTCGCTTGAACGGGAAAACCCGAACCACCCAGCTGGCACAACGAGGAGGTGGTTCGGCAAGCCAGCCGGTTGTTCGGCAAGCCAGCCAAATAATAAATCGCCAGTTGTACTTCGTAAGGGCGTTTCGCTGCCACGGGACCACCAACAGTCGTGCGTGGGCTGAGTGTGCCCCTACGCGGATTCGAACCGGTGACCTTATGGTTTCACACCAGGCGCGCAGAGCAATCGGCCACCGGCCTAGCAATGAGTGTGTTGCGCGTCGCATATTTAGTGCAGGAAGAGCGAGCGACCCGCTCAGCACAATTATATCACGGAAAAGGTTCCGATAGCTGGGACAAGTGTTGCGCATGCCGATACACCGACTCCCGCGACTTGCTTTGTTTACTCTCTGGGGATGTGATTGGAAGAAGGAAGGGGAAGCCAAGCGATGACTTCGTCTAGAGGAATGAACTCCCTCAATTCGAAGTTGACCTCCGTTGGTGTTTCCGACTGCCGAGCTGGCTACCGAAGGACGATGAATACATTGTGTGCAGTTTAATCGTGACTTCTACTTTCTACGAACATTACACTACTCACAAAACATCCACAGGATGATGAATACGTTTGGTTGGATACACCAGCTGACGTGGCGGCGTTTGTGTTTTGAGTCCCTTTGCACCGCTCCTCCCGTTCAGCTTCCCCTCCAATAACGATCACAAATCTGTCCTCTAGCATTATGTCACATTTTAAGCACCGCTTTACCTCTTATCTATTTTGTATTTTTGCACCTTAGCTAAGCTACGTTTCTTACCTTCGGCTAACGGGTATTGGTGACTATAATTTTTATTACATCATTATAACTGAAAATCTTTCATCCCACTCGTCATACATATACGGCACCTTACCTCTTCACTTATGGGTTACAAATCCACTCATTTCCAAAACTATGAACCGCAAGCTGGTCTACCCGTTCCTGTTTTAAATTCAACTCTCAACATGTGACTAATCACACACAGCAGTTTTACCTTTCTACTCAGCTGTGCATCAGATTGCATATTCGCTCTGCACAATTGAGAGATGAAAGTACGGGCGTCGGTTTAGACGAGGCGGTCGACTCATGCGTAATCTGAACCCAATGTAAACACTTTATCTTAACCGTGACAACGCTGCGGTCTTTTCATCACCATCGCTTTGGTGCCGTTCAAAAGACGCGAGGAGGCATGCATGCAATAGATGCGTTTTCAAACTCAAATTTCAGTCAGTTCCTCAAGTCAAAAATACATCGCGACCTGCGACTTCAATGACATCATTCATGTCTAGCGGCATCTTTCTTTGTGTACCGGTTCACACCCTCTTTCATTTTTTCTCTGCGAGTGGCTGATCTTCGGTGGCCTGCACGTCTGATTCTGGCCACTTGAGCCAATTCCACCCCCTCAAGCTCTTGCACAAAAGCTGACTCATCTACATCGTCTTGCTGGGTGATAATTTGTGCGTTTGCGATGAATCTTTTTCTGCTATGTCGTACTTTTGTTCCCGAGTCCTTAGAGCTTCTACGACGGTTTTTTTCATCCAGAGGGGACTCAGTGTGAGGCAGTCGTTCCAAGCTTTGCACTTTTTCAGGATCCGGTTGGTTAGGCTTTCGTGGCGGTTTGCGGACGTGAGCTAACACTGGCTGCAGTTTCTCCGTCACTTCTCGGGCTTCCACGGGTAGGGTCTTATCTTGCGCCATCCACCAGCGATAATTTTCCATTACAGCCTCCTTTTTGTGACGCCGGTATAACTCCTCCCAACCATGTATTAACTTCATTTCCGGTGTGATGATAGGTCCTGAAGGAAGCTTGGCCTCACCTTTGGCAAGCATTTGTTTGGCCATTAGCCTAGCTGGAAGTGACAATGGTTGACGTGTTAATAGGCGCCTCTCTGCGAGTGCCTGCTTGATGGCATCTTCCAATTCGCCCTCGATTAAATCTTCCTGAATTGGCTCGTATTTCTGTATCATTAGAGCTTTGTAAGTTTTGTCCATTAGCCATGGCTGCGGAAATACAAATCGTATGGCCTCATAGTCGGGTAGGTCGATTGGCACAGGTTTGAAGACGCTTGCCACTTGAAGTTGATTGGCTGCCGAACGACAATACACGGCTGCGTATCGGTCTGGATCTTCGGGTTGCATATATTTCTTACGTTCCTCCCATATCCTTTTTTCCTTATTCAGTTGTCTTCGCTCATAGCACATGTTTACGAAATAGCGTAGAATAATGGCGCACTTTTCCATCAACATCATCAGTAACAGTATCAAAAGGAGGAGACCAAGTGTACACCCCATAAGTAGTAGACGATTGCGTTCTAAAAATGTGCGCAGGACATGCAAATGGTTGTCAAACACGCGTCGACTCCAGGAGGTTGGTCTTCCGAGCAAGTCGTAATCATAATCTTTCGCGTACGCTTCCGCATTTGGATAGGCCGGATCAAATAGCACATCATTTACGTCGAAGAATGAGGCCATTTGGATATTATGTTTCCTCGCTACTCGGTAGAGTTACCCAGCTTAAGCGATCGATATTTCATCCCTATTAATTCGAACCTTAAGATCACGCGACTACCCTACTTCACTAGAGTGGTAGAGAGTAGAAGGGAGGATCCCGCGTCAGCTTCTTTGCTTCCAGTACAAAGCAGGGATTGCGCGGATCATTGCGATAGGTCATTCATAGGGAACCGTCACTGTCGCAGCGAGGACTACATGATCCATGCTTTCTCAACAGATTTTGATCTATATATATATATATATATATATATATATATATATATATATATATATATATATATATATATATATATATATATATATATAGACCCGAAGAGTCGTTTGAAACTTTCCTCACTCTGTGCGCTGACGACTGGCTCTGGTAAATTGTTTCAGTCTGTTGAATGGATTCTCTTTTCCCTGAATCTGACAAGCTTTTAAGATAATGTTGTCGAGCTGATACTTTATATGTGACTTGGATTGCTCACCTTAATAACAAGAATGAGCAATATCCACATTTCCGTAGCCTGTGCCCGATTAAAAGTCGTCCCTACTAATTGTAATCAAGGAAGGCGATCCTGGAAGCACTCGCAGATCGTAGCTTCTCGTCCTCTAACAGCCCCGACTATGGACATGTGATGCGATTGTTGTCAGGTTCCTTTTGAGTCCGTCATCTGTTTCAGCTCGTCGCTTAAAGCGGGCTCGGCGTGAATTTAGGGAGCAACGAATGGATTCGTGGCGTGGAAGCACATATTAGATCCCGTTGACAGATCACAATCGCAAAATGAAGGACAGCTTTCTTTGCATCCTACAGGAAACGATATTAGCACATTATCTATTACTACGTGTCGAAAGCCTCTCTTTACAATCCGTCTTTATTGAACGCTGGCGATGCTGTGTTAGTGTGTGGAATTCCCATCATTCAGGTTACCTCATTACCTCAATGTGGGTTGGGAAATCTGGTGGTGTGCTTTCCATTCAGATCCATCACACTTGACGCTTCGTGGCGACAGGTTACGATCTCTTACGGTTATCTTCCCCACGCTGACTGAGCGAAAACCCCATACCAAGATCAACCAGCGTCAAGTCCTCAGGTATCTTTGTGCCCAAACTTCTCATCACCCACGCACATTTGTTAGAAGACATTCTCTGTATCCTCAGACTCAAGATGCCTTCAGTTAAATATTTTAGTTTATTCCGTAATGCATTCCCCTCACTGGTTCCACTGATCCCCTGTCAGCCTCCCCGGACTGTTTAAAATAGACTACGTCTTAATGGTATGACAGATAAGGCACAATACTAAATACAGCGATTTGTTTAGATAATCTGATTAACCTCGTCATTTCTATGCACCCTGACGCCCACAATACCTTTTCTTTTAGGAGCGGATGATCGATTTCATCCATCACAGTGGCCTCTCGAAAGTGCCATCTTGTTCTACGTGTTCAAAATTTTAAGCTTCACATTTCCACACTTCATCGTATCACACATCATCGTATCGCAGAAGATGATATTGACCAGACACCTTACACTGTACGTCGAAGATTAGACACGAGACTAACTACACGGAGGATGAATAAGAAGTTAAACCCTTCACCAAGTGCACATCGAAAAATTGATAGGTCGCCAGCCACACATTGCGCGGCGAAACTTCACGTATGAGTTGTACAACCTCTAAAACCTTGCTTAAATCTGAGAAACTTTCATGTATGTACACTAACGCCCAAGGGCTCTTCAGTGAACTTACCGAACTTTGGCTACGTCAGGTTGCGGATGCTTTGGACCTGATTTCTATTACCGAAACATGGTTACACCAAGAGATGACTGATTTTGAAGTTGAGATAGCCGGATGTCACTCATCCGGAAGGACCGTCCCCGCAGAAGAGGTGGGGTGGCGGGAGAATTTAACGTGCACGACATATAAACGCCGGCAACCGACGGTATGCAGTTTAAAGCCTGCTTGCAAGAGCTTATTGCTAGCCACCTTCTGTACAACCACGTAACCTCTCCCACCAGATTTCGAACTGCTAACAAGCCATCGACACTGGATCTTGTGCTAACTAACGAAGAACTCATGGTTGACGGGATAGTTACAAGCACACCCATGGGTCATAGTGATCATGTTATTCTACTCTTAGATTATATATGCTATGCGGAGTACCCCGAAAAGGAGGAGGACAAAGTGCATACTGTCACGCACTATAATGTGTTATCTATGCTTGTTAAGGGTACATCGTGGACGTTCTTAACCGAATGCCCCCCAGATGTTGCCTGGGAAACATTTTCAAGGACGTTTAGCACACTGGTAGCGCACGCATCAGAACAGAAGTCCTTCCAACCCAAAAACAAGCATAAGCCCTTTCCGAGGAGCAGAACACGTAAATGTATGTCCCGTAGGGCTTTGGCATGGAGCGATCACCAGGACTGCCCGAATGCCGAAACCTGAACTGCATACGTGACACATCGTAACTTCTGTGTGAAACTGATCCGCGAAGACAAGGTCATGCATCAGCAGTAGTTAATGAAGCGATTCTGCAAGAACCGCAAACTTCTGTACAGGCACGTTAACGGCCTTCGAAAGGTGAAGCGAGGGGTTCCAGCACTAGTCACGGCTGATGGGTGCACGCGATCAGCATTGGAAGCAACTGATCTCCTACGGCTTCATTACCCCTAAACATTCCAGCAGGTAACGAGCCCGAACATTTTCCTCGTTTTACTTACTCCACCGTCGGGTTTAGACAACATCACCTTCATTGCGGAAGCTGTATTGAAGAAGTTGTTATCCTTGCAAATCCACAAATCTGCTGGAGTCGACAACATCCGACCAAAGGCTCTGTAGGCGGTAGCTAGTGATCTAGCAGAACCACTGGCTGTTTTCTATCAGCGATGTCTAGAAGAAAACCGTATTCCACCAGTATGGAAGCGAGGGATCATCACTTCTATCCATAAAGGAGGCAGCCGCACTGATGCTGCCAACTACCGTCCAATAACTACTTCCCGTACTATCCAAAGTGATAGAATCAATCATCGCAGATGCGCTGATGCAATACCTGGAAAGCCACAATTTAATAGCCCCACAGCAACATGGCTTTCCTCAAAAGCATTCGTGTAATACTAACCTATTAATTGCACGTAATAGCTGGACCGAAGCTGTTGATGATGGAGTAGGAGTCGATGTCATCTACCTGGACTTTTCAAAAGCGTTTGATCGCTTAGACTATTGAATTCTCCTTCAGAAGCTTCGGAATTACGGCATTGGCGACTCAATCCTGAGTTGGATTGGTAATTTTCTACAAGAACGACGGCTAGTGGTGAGAGTCCAAGAATCAGTTTCTCATGCGATCGATGTGGCGTGTAGAGTACCACAAGGCTCGGTTCTTGAACCTCGTCTATTCTTGGTGTTCATGAACGATTTGGCGAGATCAATTACTTCCGATTTCCTATTTTTCGCTGATGATATCAAGATATGGCGAAGGATCAGTGGACCGGACGACCACGAACGGCTCCAATGCGATCTTAATATGGTGTCGAACTGGTCAGTTCAAAACGCCCTACCGTTCATCGTAGACAAATGTCGCGTTGTAAAATTACGCCATAGACATAACTACACCTATTTGCTTGGGACATGCGGATTGCAGAATAGCTCCCAGGAACGTGACCTTGGTGTGATCGTACAGAGCGACGTCAGTTGTTCAAAACAGGCTGAGGTAGCTGCGAAAAGAGGCAACCATCACGTCGGCATGCTGCGAAGGGCATTCGGGAGATTTGACCCATCAATCTTCCCAATGATGCACAATTCCTACGTGCGCTCGCATGTTGAATACGCTATCCAAGCTTGGCAACCTTGGTTGAAGCGCGACCTAGAAGCGATAGAGGCACCATTACGAAGGGCAACTAAGAATGTAAAGGGCCTGCGCTATCACTCTTACCACCGAAGGCTGAAGTTGCTGGGAATTTTCAGAGGACGCTATCGAAGGCTGCGCGGCGATCTCATTTTGGCGTATCAGATATTGAGTGACCCCAACCACGTATGCCGCCATTTGCTGAAACTTAGCCACAACGCGCAGCTCAGAGGTAACAGCTTAAAGTTGAAGCAACAATATAGTCGTCTGGAGTGTCGACGTAATTACTTTCCCCTCGGGTTTGTCAACGCTGAAACGCACTCCAGACTCAGTGGTATCCTCTCCTACGTTGGATGTTTTCAAAAAACGACTAGATGTTGCTCTTAGCTCCCAACATTTTGTTACCTAAGCTGCTCTATTGTGGATTACGTCAAGCATGTTTCAACAGGATTTATGTATCAAATGGACCTAAGTGAGCAACCATATTTTACTTTTCTCACTACTTACCCCAACAACCACTGCACCCCAGTTTCTTTCTGAACGTTTACGCGCGATAACTTTTTTTCATTTTACGCTGATGCTAATTATCAAAGTATTCATCTCGGCAGACGTTCGATAGATGACCCAGACATATTTTGATTTCATCATATTCACCTCAACCATCCTACGGGACGTGTACAGCACTTGCTTTTATCCCGTGATAAATCATTGTTCAATCATTGTTCATTGTTCAATGGTATCTGTCAGATTTGTTTGTTGACCCAACAAAAATCATTACCATTCTGCGTGAGTGGTTGTTAACGTAAACATCATATTCTTTTCATTTTGCACCTCATTTCCATATATTTCCTAGGCATAACTTTTCAGTACATCAGCGGCGGTAGTGTAAATACTGAAGGTTAACCCATTTGGTCTCATGAAGCTCATTTGACTTGGCTGAAAATGCCTGAGATACGTGTCGAAATCCTACAACATCCCGCTGTTAGGTAATTCACTACTATTTCATTTTTTGTCTTTCCAGTTTACGAGTAGTTGTTTGCTTCCGCCGCCTTATAGCCTCCCCTTCCCGAGGTTGTTTTTCCCTCTCGTACCGTGGTCGTATAAGGGTGGCGTTCACCCAGCATTTCGTTCCTCCGCTGT